TGGGTGTCCCAGGTAGACAACACCCCAAGAAAATCCTGTCCTCAACCTCCCAGAACTTAGGTACTGTAGTCTGTCTTCTGCAGATTTGCAGTCAAGGATTTCGGAACAATATGGCCAATGGCTTTCTGCCCAGACAATCTGGAGCAGACTGCATGTAGTCGACCTCCAGTCTCATTGGGCACCAGGAAGCATGCCATTACTGCCCTTCACCATCACGCATATTTGCACTAATGGTGGCAACATGTGCAATGGAACCTGAGCATGTGGAGGAATGTTATGGTTAGAGAGGAGTCCAGATTCTGTTTACGGCAGTTTGATGATGGGGGAAAGTATTGGAGAACGTTATGCTGATTGCTGTACTGATAGTGTAACATCTTTTGGTGGAGGCAGTGTGACGTGTGGGGCAGCCTCTCCCTCACCAGATAAAAAGGGCTTGTGACTATTGGAGGTAATGTCCATGTAACCTAGAAAAAATTCTGCAGCCAGTGGCAATCTCATATCMTTACAGTCTGGTACCGAACTCTATCCTCTAAGAAGAATGAAGCCTGGTTTGACAGTTGATGCATTGTGCTGGGCGCGAGGGGATGCACTCCACAGGTGATGCAATTGCGCCGTCTCCACCCCTGCGCGTTGACCCCGCGCGTGGTCGTGCACCTCCGATTTTTGTAACTCTGCAAAGGCTGCGTGTGCACCATTCAAAGAGTTTCTTTGTTCGTCAAGCTTTTGCTCTCCTGTTTACAACATTTCTCAAGTTATAAAGTGTACTTCTACTTGTCTTTTTTGAGAAATCTGCAACATAAGAGCCAAGTTTAAACACTTCCACCACTGGTGAGTACGCGCCCTGCACGAGTACCCAAAGCGCAACTATAACCAAGCCTTGAGATGCCATCCCACAGCAGTGTGTGACCAGACTGGCATGAGGAAAAAGGGCCATGTTGTTGTGGCTGTGTATGGCTCTTCCACACAAACTTCTGAGGCTCCTGTTTGTTAAATGAACCAGGACCCTACAGAGGTTTTACAGGCAGTGCAACTCAACCAAGATGGAACATCAAGGTGTGCTATTGACAGAAGGTTTGTTGTGTCTTCCAGCACAGTTTTAAGAGCATGGAGGAGATTCCAGGAGACAGGGAGTTAATCTACAAAAGCTGAACAGAGCTGTCAGAAATCCTTAACTAATCACCAGGTCTAGCATCTGCTCCTTGGTGCAACGCAGAACAGAATGAGTTCTGCCAGAGACTTACAAAGTGACCTCAAGAGAGCCACTGGTGTGGATGATTTTTACCAAACCATTAGAGACAGACTTCATGAGATTCAGACTCCACGAGGTTCACTTTGAGCTTATGTGACACACAAGAGTCTGGAGAAGTTGCAGTGACGGTTATGCTGTCTGCAATGTTGTTCAGTATGTTGGGTTTCATGCTTGGTCTGAGAAGCAGGGAAGTAGAGACTTTTACATTAATCAGAATATTTGTTCTTTATGGGATAAAGGATGCCAACCAGACTGCCATTAGGTATCAGGATGAAAGCCTCAGACCCATTGTTAGACACCTCACTGGTGCAGTGGGTCCTGGGTTCCTCCTGGTACATAACACCTGGCGTCATGTATCAAGAGTAAACAGGCAGTTCCTAGAGGATGAAGGAAATGGCCTCCACACTCTCCTGACCTAAATCCAATAGAACATTTCTGGAACATCGTGTTAAGGTCCGTCTGACACCATCAGGTTGCACCTCAGACTGTCCAGGAGTTCAGTCATGCACGATCTGGCAGAACACCAGCTGTCATCAAGGAGCATTCCCTGACATAGTCAGGCATATACAAGCATGTCGGGGCCAAACTACTGAGCACCGTTCTGAGTTGCTGCAATGAGATTTCAACCAATTGGACCAGAATGCTGCATCTGTTTTCAGTTTACGTTTCTTTTCTTATTTATATAATTAGATTGTGACAGAGCGTCAACTAAGATTCTCTGGACATGTCCTCCATCAGCAAGCACTATGCCTACCAAAGGCCGCCATCCAGTGGATACCACCACGAGGAAAGCGGAAACAAGGGCGCCCCCGACAGAATTGGCACCGTACCTTCCACAAAGACCTCAAGGCCCTAGATATCAGCCCAGACGAAGCTGAAGTGGTCACAAGAGATAAATCCCAATGAAGACGTCTTACCGCCCATTACCCCGAACAGTGCAGAAGGAACTAAGTAATATAATTAGATTTTTAGTGACTTTCAGAAACTTTCATTTTCATCAAATAATGTGGACTCATTTTGTTCTTACTACCCATTATATCAGTACATCCAGCATGATTTTTCTTTTTCAAAGTGTTCCTTTATTTTTTAACAGTATATTTTGTTATAATGATGCATCATGATAAGAAAGACATCTTTTCAATAAAATATACTTTTGAAAAATTTTCTTKACATGTTTTAGGTGTTTTTAGTATCCAGTCATTTGCAAAGTAAAGAAAAGAGCRGACATAGAAATAGTACAGTGATGATTTGAAAACTGACATTGGCCATTCCAAAGGCTTCCAATGAAACAAAACAAGGTAAACATGTGCAGTGGTAGTTATAGAATATTAGTGAAAATAAGTACAATTTTTGAAGGTATTTATGGTTTATATTGGTTGAATTACGTTTTATCTCTTGTTTGAGTTAACCTAAAAGCCTCTTAATTTCTCATATAAAGCTACTCACAACAGATCAGGACATCTTGTATTTTCATACACCTCAGACATGTAGATAACCAAAAACATTGTRCCAAATGGTTCCCTTTAGTGACACCAATAAGTCAAATTTTCGCCCCAGGCCCAAGGGTTACATCAGGACCAATAAATGTAATGTCTTAGAAAACAAAAAGTCTTGAGTGACAAATAACAGCTAAATTCAACAAAACTGAAACAAAAACTAAAATTAGCACAACTACGTTTAACAGCTACAATGAGCACAACTGTAATAAAAAGCAAAACATAGAAAAACAGTTATTAAAAGCTATAATTAGCAAATTTACAGTTCAAATAAATGTTAAAATAGCAAAACAGCAGCTAAAAAGAGCAGAGGACAAAACCAGAACAGTTTACTGAAGCAGAAATGAACTGAAGAAATCTTTATGGAGAAAACATTAATAGTTTAATATTTTATGAATGCCTTAAATGCTAAGAGTCAAAGCTAACCCTTTTCAATTCAGCAAATGTTTTGATAAATTATTAAAATAAACTGCAGAAAATGTTTGACTTGATAAAAGAAACAGAGACTTTAAACAAGGTTAATTTTTGTGACACATTTAAATAATTTTCAGTTCAGACTCACATTAAGATCAAATTTCTGCATGAACTAAATATAAAACTGGACAAAGGATAAAATGTTTTCACCTCATCTCTGCAACAAATTTAAAAACAGAACAATGAAGACGGCATCATTTGCATGTTGGTGTAAGAAAAAAGAATGTTCAATTTAAAAACCATTTCACAGCTCGACACACTGATCTGTCTGCGTGTGTGTGTCTGAGTGTGTGTGATGAGTCTGGAGGACCAAGGACGCAGGAGGAACCAGCCCGTGGCATGAAAAGCTCCAGACTGTAAAAGGTAAGCCCGAGGAGCTGAGGACTGGTTTCATAATAAACTGAAGGAGTTCATGACAGAAWCCAGAGGTCTGAAACTGAATCCATGTTTCAGCTTTTTACAAGGATAAATGAATGACGTTATGAAAGAGGGCTGTTAACCTTGGCAGGGTTCCACTAAGTGTTTCACAACATCTTCCTGATTCATTTATGCAGCACCTCAGCTGCAGCCAGCACAGATTTAATCAACAGCTGAGTTTATATGACTGTCAGCAAAAAATCTTATGAACCGGAAGGACAGATTTTAATGTAACGCTAGATGAACGTCCACAACTGTTCTCTTCTAAACAACCTTATTCAAGATGGCTGCCACAGCTAATCAGCCTTAASTAACAAAAAGGGCTAATTATGATACAAACAACCAGTGTTGCAGACTCATTCACACAACTYTTCTGTAAGAAGTGACTTTCATTACTTTTTTCAAGTTCAAACTTCCACTTCGCTTTCTCTTCATCCAGACATCTTTTTCTGGTCTTTCATATTTCAGCAAGATGTTGCTGAACAGCCTTCATTACAATAACATGACTTCATGATGATGATGTCCACTAACCTGAGACAGATGGACAGGAGCTCTTCAGCTGAAATCGAGTGCCTGCAMTCGGTGTCCTGGCAGTAGATGCGGGAACCAATGCGGGTCACCCGGTCATCAAACTGAAAATGGTGTCAAACTGGGCTCAGGACAAAACCAGAGCTGAAAGCGAGCCTRGTCAGCTCGCAGCTCCTTGAGTGGTGAAACTCACCAAACTCAGYACGTCTCTGAATTATCTGGTGAATTAATTATTTGGTGAGCATAACGTTCTCTTGCTCTCAGTAAAAAAGCAAAGGTGCTTCCTTTATTTCATCCACCATTAAATGAAAATGAGAGGCTCTCAACGGGCTTGTTGTGTATCAAGAACAATATTGATGAGCGTCTGACCTCAAAAGTGCACATAAATCTAACTTAAGTGATTGGATGCATATTTGACGCTCAAATCACATTTGGCGTGAACGCAGCATAAGGCAGTTGGTCAGTCTATGTTTCTACCTTCACCTATGGCCACAAACGTTGGGCAGTMATGGAAAGTAGAAGATTGTGGATARAGGAAATGKMTTGTCTCTGCAGGGCAGCTGTACTCTCCCTTGCAGATGGGCTGAGAAGTGTAGTTATCCAGGAGCYACTCAGAATAGAGCTGCTGCTCCTCCACATCCAGGAACCAGTTGAAGTGGTTCARCTGGTAAGGATGCCTACCTAAGYAGGTGCTTCAAGCATACCCGAKTGGAAGGAGACCCCAGAGAAGACCGAGGACAWGCTGGYTAGACTATGCCTCTCGTCTGGCCWGYGAATGCCTTGGAATCCTCCCAGAAGAAKTGGAAAAGGTGGCTAGGAAAGAAGAGGTCTGGACCTRCCTGATAAAACTGCTGRCTCTGAAATATGACTCTGAAACAAGATGATGGTTGGAATTATAAAGTAATGATGACATTTTGTATTTGAGATAAAAATGAATAAATCCAGCTGTGAACTAAACRGTTGACTTTTGAACAGATTCTTTGTTCATGAAGCTTTATGAAAGGATACATCGGTTTGATTGATTGACAGGACAAATGATCAGAGGAGCTGAGTTTTTACCTCCATCATTAGGGTAAGGATTAAAGTACGCGTAGAGTGGTTCAGTGAAGCAGCAGCCAGTGAAGGAGTGGATCAGAGCTGCAGCATCAACATCATAAAAGGAGACCAGACCCTCCTGATAATCCACAAACACCCCCACCTTCTCAGGACCAGGATGAAGACTGAGAGGGACTGGAGGATCAGCAGCAGCTGAGTACCCATGTTCTTTTACTAACCCAACAACCCAGAAACCTTCCTTAGGACTTGGTATGTATGATTCCTTCCTCTTGATGGACTTTTTGACCACTCCTAACTCCCACTCAATTTTTCCTTTAACCTGAACCTGAAAGTAAAATCTGCCTGAAGAGAAACTCTGATTTGATAAAACAGAAACCCAGTTAGTAAATCTCTCTGGGTTTTCTGGAAGTTTCTTCATCACATCTCCATCTTTCACCTGTTTTCCATCATCAGACAGGATGAGGTGAGCATTTGCAGTTTTAGGATCCAGAGTCAGATCCACGTCAAACTTCTGGACTCTCTTCAGCTCAGCCTCAAATATCTTCATCTTCTTCATCTTCTCCCTGACCTCCTCCTCCAGCTGAAGCACAGTTCTCACCACAGTCCCCTCATATGATGGAGGATCAACTCTGACCTGGGTCCAGTTCTTGGTGGGTGGAGC